TTTCATTCCAATGAAACAATAACACTGATTGCTGTTGTCGTGACGATTGAAGTGATAGAATAATCAATGTGAGTGTTTGTTGCCGCCGCTGTTCTTTTTGTGTATGTGTTTGTTTGTGTGTAAATATATTACTTCTGCAGTTAGAAAAGGAATATGAGTGTGTCCCTGTTTATGTGTGTGTGTGTGTGTGTGTGTGTGGTGTTGATGAATTGAGTCATTTAGTAGAGTGTGTGCTGATTAATCCCGGCAGAGTGTTAATACAGGAGATGGGAACAGATTAAATGGCGTACATTAACAAATATTGCCACCCTTTAAACACACAAACTCACACACCTTCAGTGTGTGTGTGTGTGTGTGTGTGTGTGTTGTCCTTTTTTCCATGTGGTTTGTCTCTCGTGGCGTGGATGTGTGCACTCACTGTTTGCCAGTAGCTGTTGCTGCTGGAGCTGCTGTTGCTGATTGACAGCTCCTAAGGTGGGCCCCCTCCCGGCACCTCCCGCTGCACCACCAGTACCAGCTACTCCTCCTCCTCCCACTGGTGGTGCTCCTCCACCACCACCACCTCCTCCTCCTCCTCCCGACCCTCCGCTGTGGGCACCAGCAGGGGGGCTGGTCAGACGCTCCTTATCCCAGGAACACTCACTTCCTCCTGGGTAGAGATGGAGATATTTTTATTCCAAATGGTCCAAAAATAACAAACAAATACATGTTTGTGTGTCTTTTTTCCCTCGTTTTTAAACAACAGTTCATCGGTTCATCCATCTCTGGGTACATTTCTGGGGAACGAAGGACCCTATAAAGTACTGTGGCTAAAAGTTAATTTCTGTTACAGTCTTACAACAGCGTCGGACAGGGAACCACTATTTTAGAGCCCTCCAAAATTGTAACCACAGCCTTTAAACCTTTAAACAGAAAAGCTGACATTTCATAACGACACCTGTTACAAAACTGTGTTCAGCATAGACTGTAAATAAAAGATGTAGCTACTATCAAGCCACCCAGTGGCTAGCAAGGCATTACAAATCTTGAGTTGAGCATTTTTGTTGTTGCCATCTTACTGTTGTGAAACCAGCAAGTAGGCTGTAGATCTCAATAACCTGCCTATTGTAAAGCATTCCCTGCTTTATCAGCCTTTTTTACCCTAAGGTGGACAATAATGTACAAACTGAACATCACTTCCTGTTTAGTTAGACTTAAAATTAGCTACTGAGACCCTGAACTCTCAAGGAAATGTTTATCAAGGCCTTGAATTAAATAGGTAGTATGGTTGTTTTATCTAAAGCCTGTGCAGCAAGTACTCTTTCAATATATAGATCACCAGCTCAACCAGCTAGTGGTACCCTGCACTTAATGGCTCACTATAGTAAAAATATGACAGGAACCAGGAAAAATGTTTGGTTGCCCAGTGATTTGTTTTGCTTTTGTTGACTGATTGCAAGTAGTTGCAGTGACCAACTGGTCCACCACTTTAGATCAGAAACGACTGGTGGTCCAACTCTACTTGTAATCACTCTTAGACAGATTGCCAACAAGTTGCAATCAACTTGAGCGAGTCTGACTGCAGCTCGTCTCTGACACGTTTCTTTACAGCACAGGACTCGACTCATCTTGACGCTGACTGGTTGCATCCTGATTGTATTCCTATATAAAAGGAATAATGCAGAGCACCTGTATAATTTTGCAGTTAAACTACCATCCTGCAGCAACTACGTCACTATTTCTTGATGAGTTTCTGAATTTCTGTTTTAAAGCAAGTGACTGAAGCATAATGTAGCTCTGCTCTGTATGCGGGGAGCACAGGAGTTAAGCACATGGCAAAAACCCAGAGCAAAGGAGAGAGATTAGCGTGACTATGATGTCAAAATGTAAAAGACACTCTCACAGTGGAAATATGAAAAGAACGAAGTGCACATAAATCAGGTTAAAAAAAAAAGCCAAATTTAATTTTACATGTTTTCTCAGAAAGGCCGAGGTCTCTGTGGAGCAACTCAGACCACTACTGATGGATATATCGATCGATAGAATTGATCTAAAAATCCTGGTACATTTTCAAAGCTTCTTCAAACAGCAGGAAACATTTGGTTGTCTGTGAAATTAAAAGTGAATAAAGAAAGTGTCCAAAATCCTGTTTCTTATAATTAAAAATGATAAATGAAATACATTTAGCTTGTAAACAATCACGCGCGTGTAAATGACTGACTGAAGCATTATTATTGTGATAAAATGATGATCACCACAACTTTTTTCCGTTGTTTGGATCCAAAATGAATTTAATCACTTTCTCACTTCACACCTTCATTCCCTCTCTCTCTCTCTGTATAGTGCTGCCTCTCTCGCTCTGCACAGCTCTCTCTCTGCTCCCCTGTTCCCTCTCTCATCCATCTTCATCTCCCTCCATTAGTTTGAATTAGCAACCGTCTCTCTCTATTATTGCCTACTGAATTCCCTGCGCTCTGTGAGTGTGTGTCTGTGTGAGAGTGTGTGTGTGTGGATGACAGCTGGGCCTCATCCCCTCTGCCATTTACACCGGGGAAGAAAAGAAGTATAAACAGATGGGCAGATGTTCTCTCTCTCTCTTCTCATTTTTTCCTTGGCCTTGTCCTCTACCTCCCAGCCTCTTTTTTTCTCTTTGCCTCTCCTCCATGTTTCTCTGTCTTTCACTTTTTTGGGCCTTCTTTGCATTTCCGTGTGAGTCTTCTGTGTGTCTCTTCCTCCTTTTTCTCTCCAACTTTCTTAGAAACTTACACCTTTGCTCTGAGGCTACAGCTTGCAGCTCTGACACCTGGATTTCAGTTTAGCTGCTGCAAAGTTGTGGCTCTTGTTTCCTTTATTTTGGGGTCAGTAATCATTCCTCTTGTTCATAACATTAGGGTAAAATAAAATCCAGTCTTAACAGGCTTTTAGTGTGAGGGAGTGGGGACTAAACCCGAAGCAAGTTATTTAAAGCTAATAAGAGGGTTGTGAGACTTTATCTTCTGACCTTATGGTCTTTTTAGGAAAAAGAATTTGCTGTTTTTGTTACTTGCCCTCTATCCACTCCACTCCAGAGGATATCCACTTGGATAGATGAATTCAGATTCCTAAACCCTCATTAGCTTCAGATATAGTTGACACACACAATAAGGACTGCATGACCCCTATCATTTCCTCTGATGCTAAACTACAAAAGGACAACCAGCATGAACAGGAAGAAATATGTTTTGGTTAAAGTCATCGCTCCACCTATTCACTTTTTAAAACATCAACCTATGGTAACTGGGATAGGCTCCAGCCCACCCACAACCCTAATAAGTGTAAGCAGAAGACAGGATGGATCGAACCTGTTTTAGGTTTACATGCCACTAACTATGGTGTCAAATTAAGTTTGCTACAAAACTTCTCTTCTCCTACAGCTTATTTAGGCATCAGTCACACAGGCCCAGAGACTGTGCTGGTCTGCAGGCACTAGTCACCTTCAAAGGAAAAGTTGTGCTTTAAAAGGTTAAACTTTCACCGTCAGTGTAAGTAGTTTCAGTCATTATGCAAATGTACTGTTTATACATTAACTGCTTCCTTCACTACAGTGAACGTTTGCAAACATAATCTAATTAGTGATTTTGTCTCCTATCACAGCAGCTCTATAATAATCAGCAGGAGTTCGAGTAATGTAGCTCTTTCTCCATTAATAAAGCAATTAGAGGCAGATTTGAAAAATAATGAGATATGGCGTTACCTTCCTTTGTGAATACCAAGAAAATATCATCTCAATGTGGTTTAATAGTAATTACCCATGTGTTCATCTCTCACTCTTGAGTTTATGGCCCTTTTAATTTGAGTAATCCTCACTGAAATAACACTGCTCTTGTTCAAAAATTCATTTTGATTTCATTCATTTATATTAGATAGATACGATTTATTTCGAACATGCAAATATAATTGAAATAACAAGAGAAAAAAACAAAACTTAAAAATCATCATGTATATATCGATGTCTACAGAATGTGTGTGCTCGAAAAGGAGTAGGATGAAGTTTACAGTTTTCCTGTTCCTACCCCCTTACTTCAAATTTCATTGCTTACAAATCCATATCCAGGATTCAACATATTCATTGATTTGTTATTTAGTATTTATCCACGTTTCTATACAGAAAAAACACTTGTTTGCTTTTCTAACTCGACACAAAAACCTGACACGTGAGTAATTTTGCTGACATGCTTTGGCCCAGCGTCTCACATGTTCTCACTGTTCAATGGTTAGAAGCTGCCATGGAGACATATGTCATGTTACAAGCACTTTATAACCAAAGCTGCTGCCACAAAGTTGCTCTATATGAAATCATCATGTTGCTATGAAGTATTTGCAGTTTTTACCTCCTCATAGGTTTTATTAACTCCATCTTCTTTCTCACCTCCACCTACAGTGTTTTATTTCCAGTGTGACACTGTGGAACATCTGCATCTACACACCAAATCACACCGTCACACAAAACATCGGTGTGGACAAACAAATGGCGTGATGTGAAATGACATTTAAAAAAGAGGACTTTAAATGTGCTGATGTGACTCACAGAATGGCACAAAAAGTGTTGCGCTATGATTTAAATGTCAGGTTTCATGTTGGTTAATGATACAGAAATAACTGCGGGCCGACGATGCAAAGGTTTAACTCTGCAGCAGCATGTCAACTGTCCTCTCTCCTCAAGAAGGCGGCAGAAAAAGAAGATTCAGGTGAGCAATCAGAGGGGTGGTCTCTTGAACCATGGACAGTTTACACCATTTGTGTACACTTATAGCATTTGTTCTTTAATTGTTGTACACGTGTGACATGCTTTTAACGCCAAGAACTGTCTTCCACTTCCTTTGGTTTCTCCCTTCAGAGGTCACCACAGTGGATCACCTTCCTCCATATCACCCCACTTCTAGCATCCTCCTCTGCATGTCCTCCTTCGCTACATCCATGTAACTCGTTTGAGCTCTTCCTCTTCAACATCCTTTGTCCAATATATCAACTATCCCTCCTTTTCAAACCATCCAAGCCTTGCGTCTCTAACTTTGTCCCTCTGAGGTACTCACAGTTAGGTTCTGCTTGCTGGTTGATGGTCTTTCAAACAACTCGCACCAATAATTATCTGCCATTTTTATATCTTGTCCAAGGGAGGATTTTTGATTTCGAAGCTGAAGGCAACATCTAAAAATTAACCTTATGAGTAAAAATAAGGAGAATCACAATTTTTATATTTTCTATATTTTATGTTTACTTGCTATATTACATGTAATGTCTTTGAGTGGACAGGAATGGCAAGCACGGAGATATCAAGACCCCGAGCTTATAAAGAATGTGGCTCAGGGTCGTAAACAGGTTCATCCTACCATCCAGCACTCTCTGTTTTAATGCATTTGTCCTCATGTGCAAAACGCTTCTGTAATTATTTTCTTATCCTTCTGCCTGCTGGTGTCGACAGTAGGCTTAAAAAAATATAAAAAGTTGCGTTGTATTTATGAATAAACCTGCGATTAATACAAATATATGAATTGCGCAACTCCTCACGAACACGTTATTTCAAGTTCTTGTTTCTTCTGTCCTTTCTATTGCACTTCCTCTCCTCCCATGTCTGCCATTGTTTCCTAAACTTCCTCTTCCTCGTTCTTCCATTGAAAAAAAAAGAAGATATAGTTTCCATTCACACATAAATTGGTCCTTCTCATTTTTCCATCATTCCAATCTGTGTTTTTCTCATTTTTAATGAGAGGAAATACAAATAAATAAATTTAAAAAAACGTGACTGTCACCATGATCTGGACAAGCCCGAGCGATCGACTTTCACCCATCAAAACAGCAAAATATCTCTTCTTTTTCTCCCCTTTTCCTCTCGCCCTAAATATCCCTTTCTTTCCTCGTGAGTCCATTTTTCCTCTCGCTTTATTTTCTTTTTCATTTCGTTCCTCTGCGCTATTGTCCGCCACAGTTTCCCAGGCCGGTGTGAGTGTCCCTTACAAAGAAAACAAGGTCGGACAATGAAAAGAAGGCTTTCCACGCACTCATGAAACAAAACAAAGACGAAAAACATCACTCTGAATGAAATAAAAGAAGGAGAAGAACACAGAGACGAGCAGGAAGGAATAAATAAAAAACGACAGAAGAAAATGAGAGAATAGAGTAACTCTATCGGCCCATTTGCCAGGTCAGCTGAAGAAAAGGAAGAGAAAGAAAAATAGAAACAAGAGAGTCTGGGTGGAAACAGAAGGAAGGACCCCACGCTCTCTCCTTTCTTTTCCTTTTGCTTTTTGTTTTCTGTCTTTTTAATAATTCAGAGAAGCAAACACAGCAGAGATTGACTGAGCCGGAAAACACGTGTGTGCCTAAGTTACCTATGAAAAAGGACTAAAACATAATACTTATAAATTTTAAAAAAAAGGACTGATTAATACATTTGTTTAATGTTTCAGCTATTGTCAGGCTGTAATCTGACCAGAACTTACATAAGAGATGAGCAAATTTCCATGGAATTCAGGCACTCAGGTTTAGTTTCATTACTTTTGTCTGAAGTATTATTTTTCTTTTGTCTGTCTTTTATTTCCTTCCTGTCTTCTGTCTTTTTTTGCTTTACCAGGCAGACAAGAAACTTTAAATGGTGTTAATCGATCTTCAGGGACCTCAAAATGAAAGTAAATGGAGGTTTTACATTAACAAAAAGGCAGAAATCTCAAAGATTTGCAATTTAGTGATTTCCCCTGATCCCAAATTTTGTTTGTGGTGTACTGAAATTCAAATAAGACGAGAGTTACAGACTACACTACCAAAGCACAACTTGACTGTTATTATTATTGTTTGTGTTTTTAAATCATTGTTATATCTGTAACGTTTCTTCATTAATTTATGTTGTTTTAGATGTGCAATTGATTTGTCTTTTTTTTAAATAAATACCACCACTCCACAGTAAGGTTGGGCATATTTACCAAGGCTTACCCAATTAAGAACAGAACCTGGCAACACACGGCTGCTACTCACCCTCTGGATTGACTGATCGTCAGTATAGAGCACTTCTATGAAAGCTGAAGTTTTGGCAAACTGCTGGTCAGAAGCATTCAGGTGTGTGTTAACACAAAGTCAAGAAGGAACAATATCAGTAATGATCTTAGAGAAGCAAATTTGCTGTCCAACCATCTGGGAAGGGTTAAAGGACATTTCCAAACAATTTTAATCTCTAAAAACAAAATGACAGTGTGGCTTTGGTTTCATATGAACAAACTTCAAGACTTCTAAGTTGGTTAGACGGTGGAGACCAAAGTGGAGTTCTTTAACAATAATGCACAGCAACATATTTGCCACAAAGACTTCACACCAACTGTAAAGCATGGTAGTTAGAGAGGTGATGATTTGCGCTTGTTTTGCAGCCACAGGACCCAGGCTCTTTGCAGTCACTGAGTTGACATGAACTCATTGACTCTGGGGTCAAACGTAACGTAAGGCCCTTATGGGTCAGTCTGATGGCTAAAGTTTGGTTTAACTTAGGTTTAAACTGCAGCGGGACAATGATCCCAAGCACAGCAGCAAATCTACAACAGAATGGCTTCGTTTCTATGAAATAATTTTGACACAGTGTAATATGTCATGTTGGTCTTCAGCTTGGGTTTTATAATTTTTAATACAACCTTAGAAAGAGGGTATACTTTCCTTTTCCTGTATATAATACAATAAGCAGGTTTTTTTTAACAGATTTCTTTAAAAGAAAAACGAATTCCTTTGAAAATAACTTTATCAAGCACTGTTAGCATTAATTAGAAACCTTTTTACTTTATTTTCAACCCTTAAGTTTCATGAATTCAGCTCTTTATCTTCACATTACGTTGTATATTTTATGTTGTACCTATACAGTTCTTGTCTGGCTTGTGAGCACCTATGAATTTCAAGTGACTGAACATACTCAGAAATAAACGCAAAATAACTAATTTATATAAAATAACACCATCTGTGACCAACTTTCATTAAAACTGGCTCCTGGAGTCTTTAAACACCTCTTATGACCATGTACTTGTGTCCCTGGAGACTTCCACACAACATCTGTGCTCTGACAGTCCACTCTTACATTTACTGATCCGTGTCGGTTTACACTTCAGTTTTTGAAAAAGTGAGGCGAGCAGGCTGAATGATTAGCAAGAACTAAAGTCTTTTCAGGTCATTGTTGAAGACTGGCTCATTTTCACACATATCGTAATATTTTTACACTTACATTGCATTTTACTTTGCTCTTTCCTTTTTTTGTTGATTAACTAAACAGTTTATTGCTTTCAAAGCTGCTGGGATTAATAATTATTCATTTATAGATGGAAAAGTGTGTGTGTGTGTGTGTGTGTGTGTGTGTGTATACATGTGTGTGTGTGTGTGTGTGTGTGTGTGTGTGTGCCTTAGTATTTTAAAAAGCTAAAGAGTTGATATTAATTGATTTCATCGCACTTATTATTTAGAGATTACAAGTTTAATGTGCCATGGATTTAATTACAGTACTTGGCTGTGCGCTACATCACAAGCCCTTTTTTTCTGTAGTGCACGGAGCCATGGATCTTAGACCTTACAAAAGGGAGTATGTGTGTGTGCGACAGAGAGTGTAGCAGTGGGGGTGTGCATTAATGGTGCCATGGATACAGTTAATTATTTGTTTAGACTTGGGCAAACATAACCTTTTAAAGTATGCTGAATTAGCTTTTAGCAGTTTCTGTTTGTAGCTGTCTGCAAATGGCCGAGTCCGTCGCTGGTTGTTAATTTTTTGCTTCATGTTTGTCACTTTACTGTAAACGGTTAAGTGGTCAGGCTTATTCATTTAGGTCTCCAGCTTGCCAGTTTAGCCTGGTTTAAAATACAATAATCGCTCCATGGAATTGCAGAAAAGCAAAAGAATTCTAAAGCAATGAGCTCCCTCTTTCTATATCATAAGCTGCTAAATGATGTTAACATCTGCAAAATAAACAGGCTAGTGTTCATTATGCTGCATAATAAAAGAAACTGGGCTTAAAAACTCAAATTTGCCACCGATTTAGCACCGATATTCACAGGAACTTTCCAGAAACAGTTGACTAACTAGACTTGAAATATACCCAATAACTTTGGATGCTAATGTAAGTGTGTGTTTGTTTGTGTGTGTGTTTGTCTTACCTGTATTGGAGTGTAAGTCCTCGTTGTCTGACTCATTACCGTTCTGGAGGCTCATCATCATCTTCATCTTCTGAAGCTTCTGGAGCTCGGCCATGGCTGCAGCTGTCAGGCCTGAAACACACAACCACACACACACACGGTTAGTTTCATCATGGCATAGCTCTTCAGGCTCACCGTCATGCCAGTCAATCAAAATTCAAATCAAAGCATTAGCTGCTCTCAAGTTCAACCATTTCTCACGAATAACCAATCACAACACTTGTTACAGCGTCCCTGGACCTCCCAAGTCCTACCTGCCTTTACCCATGATGACTTGCAGGAAGCTGGGACACACACACACACACACACACACACACTGCTGTTCGATGTGTATAAATGTGAATGTGAGGGAATGCATGCATGCTTATCACTGCTATCCGCTGTGTGTGTGTGTGTGTGTGTGTGGTGTGTGTGTGTGTGTGTGTGTCGTCTGTAGGTCAGTTGGCTTTGCCCCGGTCACGGTTGACGGCTTTGGAGGAATGTCCATTACACACAGTACAGTTGGTTGTACGCTATAAAGAAATAAGATAGAGGGATGGAGG